TTCCCCCCCACACCCCGCCCCCCCCCCCTTTTGCTTTTTGTTGGTGTTATACTCATTTTACTCTGAGCAAGCTAGTTTGTTCCTGTCCTCTGAGGAAGTTCAAGGTATAATGAGCAAAGCATCCGGATTAATTAAGCAACCTGGTGCAATTTCCCCTCCCCCACCCCCACTCCTCCTCCCATGGACTAGATTGGATCTATTCCAAACCAAAGCAGCCCTCAAGCCCCCCTGGGTACCCCCAGACTCCCCCAGGCCACCCCCAGACCCCCTCCCCACCTGGGGTCCTCCTCGAAGATCTCCTGGGTGCCGTTGCCGTGGTGAATGTCCCAGTCCAGGATCAGCACCCTGGGGGCATGGGGGGGTTTGGGGGGCCCGGGGAGTCCTGCAGCCCCCAAACCCCCCGTACCCGCAGGGGTCCCCCAGTCCCCCGTACCTGAAAGGACCCCCCCGCCCAGCCCCCCTGTACCTGAGGGGGGTCCACAACCCCCCCATACCCGAGGGGGTCCCCAGCCCTGCGTTCCCAGGGGGTCCCCCCATTCCCCCCATTCCCGGGGGTCCCCCGTTCCCCCCATACCTGAGGGGGCGTCCCCAGCCCACCCCCCATTCCCCCCGTTCCCGGGGGTCCCCAGCCCAGCCCTCATTCCCGAGGGGGTCCCCAGCCCAGCCCCCGTTCCCGGGGGTCTCCCAGCCCCGTACCTGAGGGGGGTCCCCGCCAGCCGCTGTGCGTGCCGCGCCGCCACCCCTGCGTTGTTGAAGAGGCAGAAGCCCCCGGCAGAGCCCGGGCGGGCGTGGTGCCCGGGGGGGCGCAGCACTGCCAGCGCCGAGCGCACCTGGGGGGCACCGGGGGGTCGGCCAGGGGGCACCGGGACCCCCGAACCCCTCCAGGACCTCCAAACCCCAGAGAGACCCCACAGACCCCACTGGGACCCCCAAACCTTGCTGAGACGACCCCTAACCCCCCTGAGACTCCCAAACCCCACAGAGCCCCCCAGATCCCACTGTGACTCCCAAATCCCAAACGTCATGAGACCCCCAAACCAGAGATCTTAAAACCACGGAGACATCCAAACCCCCCTGGTACCCCCCTACATATCCCCACATCCCACTGTGACCTCCAAACCGCTCTGAGACACCCCTGACCCCACAGCAACGCCCCCAGCCCCATAGAGCTGCCCGACCCCACAGAACCCCAAACCCCGGCGGGACCGGGGGAGCCCAGCAGGGCCCAGCCCCCCCTGTGCCCCCTCTTTGCCCACCTGCCCCCCCAGCCCGTTCCTCCCTTTGCCCCTTGTTCCCCCCTTGACCCCGTGCTCCCACTTCACCCCCTGTACTCTTCTTCCCCCCCCCGTGACCCTCCATGAACCCCCATGTCCCTCCATATCCTCCCCAGGACCCCCACGAGCCCCCAGTGTCCTCCAGAACCCCCCAGGACCCCCCCAAGGTGACCCCCGTGACCCCCCCAGTGCCGGTGTCCCCTCACGTGTGGCAGGCGCGCAGCTGGCGCTGGCTGGCGGCCCGGGCGGGCAGGGGCAGGCAGCGCTGGGCCAGCCCCAGCTCCTGCAGCCGCTGCAGCACGCGGGGCAGGCGCTGCGGGGCCTCGGGGTGCTGGCTGTGAGAAACACCCCAAAATCACCCCAAATCACCCCAAAAATAACCCCAAAACCACCCCCGGGGCAGCCACTGCAGCATGCGGGGCCTCGGGGTGCTGGCTGCGAGAAACACCCAAAAATCACCCCAAATCACCCCAAAAATAACCCCAAAACCACCACCTAAAAACCACCCCAAAACCACCCCAAAACACCCCAAAGCCACCCCTGGGGCAGGCGCTGCAGGGCCTCGGGGTGCTGGCTGTGAGAAACACCCAAAAATCGGCTGAAATCACCCCAAAACCATCCCAAAATAACCCTAAAAACACCACCCAAAAATCAGCCCAAAACCACCCCAAAAAGAACCCTAAAAACACCCAAAACCACCACCCAAAAATCACCCTAAAAATCACCCCAAAAATAACCCCAAAACCACCCCCGGGGCAGCCGCTGCAGGGCCTCGGGGTGCTGGCTGGGAAACTCACAAAATAACCCAAAATAACCCTAAAACAACTGAAATCACTCAAAAATCACCCCACAATAACTCAAAAACAACTGAAATCACCCAAAACCACCCTTGGGGCAGCTGCTGCCAGGCCTTGGGGTGCTGGCTGGGAAACACAGCCCAGAAACAGCTGGAATCCCCCCAAAACAACCCTAAAAACACCCCAAAATCACCCCAAAACCAGCAGGACAGGTATCCCCAGCCCGTTCCCCACCTGTCCCAGGTGTCCCCGCTGTCCCTCACCTGTCCCCAGCCCCTGTCCCTCCCCTGTCCCTGTGTCCCTGCTGTCCCCCACCTGTCCCAATTGTCCCCGTGTCCCTCACCTGTCCCAGGTGTTCCTGTGCTCCTCCATGCGGGGGTCATACACCAGCCCCACCCGGGCTCTGCTCGGCGGCTCCGGGGGGGGCTCCGGGGGGTTCCCCTCTCCCTCCTCATCCTCCTGGTCTTCCTCCTCCTCCTCCTCATCTTCATCCTCGTGCTCTTCCTCCTCTCCCACTTCTGCCTCCTCCTTCTCCTCCTCCTCCTCCTCTTCCTCCTCCTCCTCGCTCTCTGTGTGGGCGGGGCTCCTCAGGGGGGGAACCCCAAATGTGCCCCCCCCCAACTTTGGGGTGCCCCGAGAAGGTTCTGGGGGTCCCTGAGGGGGTTCCTGAGGGTCTGGGGGTCCCCAGGGGAGTCTGGGAGATCCTGAGGGAGTTTTGGGGGTGTCTGGGGGGGAAGAGTTGGGGTTTTGAGGTTGTCTGGGGGGGTTATGGTGTTTTTGGGGGGATTTTGGGGGAAGTTGGGGTTTGGGGGTGGTTTTGGGTGTCTGGGAGATTTTGGGGGAGATCTGGGGTGCTTTTGGGGTTGTTTTGGGATGTCTGGGGTGGTTTTGGGGTGTCTGAGGGGGTCCCTGAGAGAAACCAAGATGGCGTCAAGCCAAGATGGCGGCCTAGTAACCAAAGTGACTCCTTAGCAACCGGGCCTAGCGCACCCCCCAAAGCCTGCGCTCAGGTTCGGGGGGTTCAAAGGGCTCCCCCCGGGATTTGGGGCGTCCCCCCTGGATTTCAGGGTCCCTGTGAGATTTCAGGGTGTCCCTGTGGGATTTCGGGGTGTCCCTTTGGGATTTCGGGGTGTCCCTTTGGGATTTTGAGGGGTCCCTGTGGGATTTTGGGTTGCCCCGGGATGTCGGGGTGCCCCCTGGAATTTCGGGGTCCCCCCGGGATTTCGGGGTGTCCCCGGGATTTCGGCCTGCCCCAGGATTTCGGGGTGCCCCCGGGATGTCGGGGTGTCCCCTGGGATTTCGGGGTGCCCTCACCGAAGCTCTGCAGGCAGCCCCAGAAGCGCTGCTGGACGCTCAGCGTGCGGGCAATGCTGGCCAGGCCACTGTGTTGGGGGGGGGACACGGAGCTTTGGGGGCGCTGGGGGTACCCCCAAACGGCCCCAGCACCCCGGGACCCCCCCCGAGCTCTCCGCTCCCCCTGGAGCTCCCCAAAATCCCCCAAATCCCCCCCAAAAACCTCCCCAAAACCCCATACGTCCCCCATACCTGCAGCAGCAGCAGCAGCCGCCCCCTGGCCAGGGCCGAGAGCAGGTGGGTGAGGAGAGAGAACCCGGCCGGGGACACCCCCAGGGCACCCTACAGGGACCACAGACCCTATAGAGACCCCCAGGGCACCCCATAGGGACCACAGACCCTATAAAGACCCTACAGAGACCCCCAGGGCACCCCATAGGGACCACAGACCCTATAGAGACCCTATATGGACCCTATAGAGACACCCAAGGCACTCTATAGGAACCAGAGACCCTGTAGAGACCCTACAGAGAACCCCAGGGCACCCTGGAGGCACCAGAGACCCTACAGAGACCCTACAGAGCCACAAAGACGCCACAGATCCCCAGGGTGCCCTGGGGACATGGTGGGGGTGAGGGACCCTACAGAGACCCCATAGAACCCCAGAGACCCTATAGAGACCCCATAGAACCCCAGAGACCCTATAGAGACCACACAGAACCTCAGAGACCCCATAGAGACCCCACAGAGACCCCAAAGACCCCATAGAAACCCAGAGACCCTATAGAGACCCCATAGAAACCCAGAGACCCCAGAGAGACCCCAAAGACCCCATAGAGACCCCAAAGACCCCACAGAAACCCCATAGAGCCCCAGAGACCCCACAGAGACCCCAGAAACCCCCAGGGAGCCCTGGGGACACCAGGGGGACTAGAGACCCTATAGAGACCCCACAGAGACCCCATAGAAACCCAGAGACCCCATAGAGACACAGAGACCCCACAGAGACCCCCCAGCCGCCCCCCCGTACCCCCAAATCCTCCAGCGAAGCCTCGACCAGGACGAGCTGGGGCTGGAACTGAGGGGACACCATCGGGTCAGGGGCACGGGACCCCAAACCTGCAGGGACCCCAAAATCCCACAGGCACCCCAAATCCCCAGAGGGACCCAAAAACCACAGGGACCCCAAACCCCACAGGGACCCCAAAACCCGCGGGGACCCCAAAACCCCACAGGGACCCCAAACCCGCAGGGAACCCAAAATCCAACAGGGACCCCAAATCCCCCCACAGGGACCCCAAACCCACGGGGTCAGGGGGACAGAACCCCCAATCTGCAGGGACCCCAGACCCACACAGGGAACCCAAAATTTCCACAGGGACCCCAAACCCACAGGGACCCCAAAACCCCACAGGGACCCCAAACCCCACAGGGACCCTAAACGTGCAGGGACCCCAAAATCCCCACAGGGACCCCAAACCCGCAGGGACCCCAAACCCCACCACAGGGACCCCAAACCCACAGGGACCCCCGAACCCCACAGGGACCCCCGAACCCCCCCCACCCCCCCAGGGA